ATTTTCCCCCCCGTGGGAAAAAAAAAGGGAAAAAAAAAAAAAAAAAAAAAAAAAAAGAACATCAATTCTTGTGTGTATATGGACTCACTTCCAACTTCCAAGCATATACTTGATCAGATGTTACTCAATTGGAACTTGAAGGCAAACTTATTTAAGTTGGTTTATAAACAAAGCAAAACATTACCATAAAACATTCTAGCGTAATGAGGAATTCGTGGACAGGATAAGGTTTTAGCGATTATTTTAATATTTATTTATTAAAAAATTATCATTATTTTAACTGTAAGATATTGTTTCGATGGCTATAGTAACTTAAAATAATTAACTAAAAAAAGCATGATAATTAAAAAAATTAATTTTTATCACATTACATTATATATTTATATATTTAAAAAATAATTACCCACAAAAATGCAACTATTAAAACTCGTCCATTACCACAATACCAGAGAATCTGTACTAGGTGACAAAGGAACAAAAATTTGTACGTTATAAATATTTACAAGCCTCCTAGAATGGAAGTTTAGGCCGACATGACCTTTTTTTTTCAAGTGGTTCGCTTTGCTTTGAAATGTTAGCCAATGAGCAGAGAGTTTGGTGGGTGTCTCATGATTTCATCAAATCTGGTTTTCTTTGGTCTCACGGGTTTTAAAGGTTTTGACCCATTCAAACTCATTCAACCTTTACACACACACACAGAGAATCAAACCATGAAGATTAGAAAATTAAAAAAAAAATAATAATAAATTACTCGCAACAATTGAATCATAAATCTTGCTATTCAAATATTCATTTCCTCTTTAGTCCCTTTCTTTATTGTTTTGATGCATTTATAATTGATTATGCTTTGTTTTCCTTTCGTCACAATTCCACTATGATAAAACATTTGTTGTAATCTTCTTTCCTTTTCTCTTATTTTCTTAAATTTCTAAATTTGCCAGTGCTGTTCTGTCCTTGCATGATCTGTACAGCTCATTCCTGTTTTAGTTCGTTGAAATTTATGGTATGTTCTCAATCCCTTCAGCCAAATTAAGCAACTAAAGATTCTTTATCTTAAAAAAAAAAAAAACACATATATGTAATTATTGCAAGGATTTTATTCTTTGGTGGGTATGTTAAGATTATCTTTCTAGTTACAACCTATGACTGAGCGGTTTGCTTTCAGATTCAGACCCATATTCTCTCTCTTTCTCAGATTTAATCTGCCATATCTCACGGAAAAACAAAATTTCTTGTAGTTTTGGACCTTTTGGCCACTTGGGAAAAAGCATGATTAACGGTTTATGTGTACTTTTGGCTGCAGATTACCCACTACACGCAATGAAGATTCATGTTTTTAGCAAAATTGGTTTTGGGCCAATAACCTGAGGTATGATCTGTATTTACAGAACAAAATTTATCTTTAATCTTTTTGTTGCTTACAAATTCTGTGTCTTTAATTTCTGTTGCTAAATAATCTTCTCCCTTTTGAGAGTGGCTTTTGTGCGGTGTCTGCCACGGATCTATAAAGTGGTCTGTGTTTAAAATCCCTCTTTCTTAATCTTTTCCCTTTCTGTTATGAGGTAGAATGGCTATTCTGGGAAACTTTCTTTTTCTGATAAATTTAGAGATCAAAATAATATATACCTAGCTTGGATGTAATAATACTAATTTATGGAGAAATCCTTACTTTGTCTGGATAAGAATTTTCACTCGGGAAAAACTGCATTCTCATAATCTTATCACCAAAACTAGGAAGTTGGAGGTGAAGTAGTGAACAAATGAGTAATCTTTTATCTAGTAGACTTTTTGCCATTTGGGAGAATTTAATGGAAACTAGTTTCTTCTAAAATAAAGGAGCAGCTACAAATGGTGCTCACAAGACTATCTTATCTTTCATGGGGTATTTGACGATAAGGAAAAGTAGCTTATAAGTTGAAGATTTAAACAGCTCTGGTTAAGATTATGAAAATATTTTAGGACTGCCCATTAACCAATAGGTACATCTCCTGGTCAATTCTTGACTGTTAGATTTGCTTTTATGTCACATCTAGCTCTGTTGATTATTGATGAGTTCTATAAAGAGGTTTCTGTAGCGAGGTTCACATTTGGAATGCAAAGGCCCCAACAAATAAGTTTTGATTGCTCAAGATGTTTTAAGTACTTTGGAAAAGAGTAAAAGAAGAAATTTGCTTTTTTTTTTCTAGTGGCATCAGAAATGAGAGAACATCTTGCTAGACTCCCACTAAGATAAATGTTAGTTCCCATTACAATTGGTACCTTAAGCATGGATCTGGATTTTGGTGGAGTTGGTAGTTGCTGTAGGGGCATTAGTATTAATGATAACCAAGTGAAAATTTTGGGCATGATTCCAACAAAAAGTCATTGTTGAGGTGGCAGATGTCTACAAACAGGTAAGGAAGTTGGGGTAGCAACTAAGCCCTCATTCGTTTCGCTCGTTCGAGTTAAGAATTTGAATTAAAAAATGAATTCACATGAAATAAGACACTATAACAGAAAAGGTTATAATTTGAATTTTTAAGAGAGAAAACACTGTAGTAAATCTTTGAGTTGTAATTCGAACTAGTGAAACGAACGAGGTCTAAGAAAGAGTAGATGATGCTCTGATGTTACATGTATCTACACCGGTATGACTTAGATGTGTCTTATGCTCATACCAAAGTGAAGCCAATTTTGAGGTTTTGGTGTTTGTGTTTCTCATTAGGTTCTGAGTTAGCAAGATAGTGTAACTGTAATGACAGTGTGAAGTTGTGAAAAGACTAATACACAAACAATTATAACTTTTTTCTTTTTTAGCCACATCCCATAGATGTTGCTCCTTCTCAGCTTTTTAAGGACTGCAATCGACAACAAAACTCTAGGTTGTTATTTTAAGTCTCTGCTTACGCGGACCGAATGTCGACATTTAGGGGGCGTTTGGTAGAGGGATTCGTTCCCTGATTCGAATCATGATTCGTGGTTCGCTACAGTATTTTCTCTCACAAAAAATACACGTAAATCAAAAATGGTTCGAATCACATGGTTTGAATCCTCCAACCAAACGAATCCTTAAGCTGATTCATTGTTCTTGTTGTCGGATCATTCACTCGTTTTCGGTATTCTTGCAGCATCATTGGCATCGTTTCCATTAGAGCTATTAGGCTTTTGTTGGAATCAATATTAGAACCCCAGGATCTTTTGGGCGCGTTTGAAACTCATTCTAAAATGATTTTATTTTTTGTATAAAAATAAAAATAAAAACGTTTTCAATTTCAGACAGAAATCATTTTTGAAAATGTGTTTCGTAGTTTTATTAAGAGATTATTTTCAGTATAAAAAAACTCATTAATGTCTCTATCCCTTTCTCTCTGCTCGAGAGAGGAGAAAACAAAAACAAAAAATAAAAAATGACTAAAAGTCGTTTTTCATTTCTCTCATTTTACACTAAACTAAAAAATCGTTTTCATTTCTGTTTTTGTCTTTATTGCGTCAAATGTCGTTTTAAAAACGTTTTTATTTTTTCTTTTTCAAAAAACGTTAAAAACAAAAATGAAATCAATTCCAAACACGACATTTATCTCTCTCGTTTTCCTTTTACCTTACTGGTGTCAAATGTTAATAACATAATCCTAGTCTTACAGGTACATTAATGTTTTTTTGTCATATCAACTTTAGTGGTGTTTTGTGTAATAAAGTAGAAGATTATGTCGAACTTGTTTCTTTGTCATATCACTATTTTAGCAAAGTTTTCTGGAAACTTGACGAGAAACCGTCTTGCAAATTTAAGATTAATTTTGAGACAATAATGGACTATCTAGTCTTTTATGGATGATGACAGACATTGCTTCCCAATGTAGAAGGATAATGTTGAAATTTAACTTTTTTTAGTTGTCTAAGAATTTTCTACATCAGGTTAAAAATTAAAACAATCGAAAACTCTCATCTTTATTTTATTAAATCTGACCATGTACACTAGAACCCATCTATGAACAATTTCTTCTAGTTTTTGAATCTAGTCATGGCAAAATTTCTCGATTCCCTTAGCTCTCTTCATTTTACCTATTCGAGTTTAGAATTCAAATTTTGCTATAGTATAAAGTTCTCTGAAACAGTCACTTTTTTTATTACAGTAAAAAACTCTCATATAAAGTCACATCTCAACTCAAATTAAAAACTCAAATTAGTGAATTAAATGGACCCTCAGAGATTATATGGTAAACTTTTGATACTTGTTATAAAAACGGACCAACGTTCATGTTACTGACCTCATTTATTAGACCATCCTAGTTCATGGGTTCAAGTTTATGATTTTAATTTTGAATTTAAATTTTGTGAGAAAACTTGTTAGCGGAAACATTTTTTTTATTCAATTCTTTTCTGAGAAAAAATATCGTAACAGAATTAAAATCATAAATTTAAAAGCGTTGTGAACCTAACGAGTCTTATCATTTTAGGCAACCAAAAATAGGAGAATTTTTCATTGGTATGGTATGAAAAACTACTTTACCAATAGGACAGTTTTAGACCGTAAGATTTTCATCGTACCTAATTTGATCCGACGGTCTATTTGTAGGGTCTTTCTGCAAACTTCTCTACCACAAAATTCTCCAATCAACCAAGATGGAGATAGAAAATAGCACTCCTTTTACTCATGGTGGGGTATACATGATGATTCCTAGACCATTTTTGAACTTTTTCGTGTTTCTTTCCAAGAAGTTTCGTGGGAAGTAAATGAGCATCAAGAAAACGCCCCCATCTGCTATAGTTACTTGTGGGGAAGTTAAAAGAGTTCCATTGCCTAGAATTATCCACCTTGCTAAAAGTACAGGCAAAAGAAAGTGTGTAAAAAAGAAAAAGAACCAATTTTGTTTGTGCTGTTTCTCCATCATTTGCTACACCTACTAAACCTTTCGGTGCATTTATTACTTTTTAGTGATATAAGTGATTAGTGATTATCCTTTGGTATTTTTCCATTCCTTGCATAATATTGCTCTAATCTTATGCATGTTTAAAGGTAAAATTCGTTGCTTTAAAAGATCAACTCTTGTTTATTCACACGGTTAAATGCTTGACATAACTGGGGAAATTGTGAAAGCTGGTTGGGGTTTTTTTTTTTTTTTTTTTTTTTTTGCCTTTATTTCTTCCTTGGTCTTTTTTATTTTCTAGGTATCGGGATGAGTAATAATGGTTTGCAACGAGATGTGCATTCTGACCAGCAAATGGGCGGTGGAATTACTAAAATTCATGTGCAAAAGGGCTTTACAGCTAAAGCTCCAATGCAAACACACTGCCAATTTATGCTCTTTTTTAGTAAGAGTTTATCCACCAAGAGAAGTGGTTTAAGTTATCACTAACCACAATCTCCATCTCCAAGTAAGAATTTTGAGAACCTTTATGCCCATTCGCGAATGTAGTGATTTTGATTCTAAATTTAATTTTAAATCAAAATTATGAATTCAAACACTAGTTAAGAGTAATTATACCGGTAGATATACACTCTGTAAAGGAAAACCTCAATGACAAGAAATTAGAAGACAAAGACCAACATGAATTATCATTGACTTGCATTTAAGATTTGTACATTTCCATTTTTTTTCTTCAATCTCAAAGAGCATCAGGGAAGCAATTCATTGATGATTGATGGTCCTATTGGGGTTTTCATCGCCTATTAAGGCTAACTTTTTTTGCTAAGGAAAAAGGTTTTAACAGGATAAAGAGACGGGTGCTTAATGGGGGGAAAAAGTCAGAAAGTAAAAGCTGAGAAAAAAAAAGAGGCTGATACCTGAAGAAAAGATAAATGTAACAATGTCATAGATAAATAATCAATCAAATCAAATAAATAAGCCATTAGAGAATAAAAGGAAGAAAAAGAGCCGAATCTCTTTCGTTTCTTTTTTTTTTTTTGTTTCATAATCTCTCTCTGTACATGTTTCCTGCTATGCTCCTTAAAAACCACTCTGAAAATCATGTGGTGATGTTTGTATAGTACAAAAAATTTTCAATCCCAAACCCTCTTTTTGATCCTTCTCAACCCCCCCTTCAAGTTAAAGTTCTCCATTAAACTCGAAAAAAAAAAGAAAAAAAAAAGATATAAAGAAAACCTACTTCTAACTCCTATCTACTTTAGCAGAGGCCTATCTCTTTCTCCTCACTGTCTACTTCTGGTCCCTAGAAAACTCGTCGCATTTATACTTCTCTCGTCATTTCTCTCTTTACACAAACGTACAAATGGAACCGCCCAAGCCAACCACTAACCCCCTTTTCCTTTCTCATCACTTCTTCATCCAATCTTGCACCGTTCCATAAAAATAAAAAATAAAAAAACCCAACAAAGCAAAAACCAAAATCCACAAAGGAAAAAGAAGCTTAAAACCCAAGCCTCACCAGCCTACCACAATTCGCGCATCCTTATCTAACAACATATCACAACGTTAAGCTAAATGTTAGGACCATTGGGTTTGCCATAACTTTTGAAAAAATTAGCTACCGGGGCCTTCTTTTGATGCAACAAACGGTGATTGTACACTATCGGCATCCGAATCGCTGTCGGAGGAACTTCCCGAATCTGAATCTGCAAGAAAAGATGAGACAGACATTAAGGACTCCGAAACTACATTGGAATAGACAAGACATGAACAGGGTTAGTTTGAGTTTCGGGAGTTTCGTACCGCTAGATGAGGACGAGTCACTGCTAGAGCTTGAACTACCGGAACTGTTAGACTCTTCAATGTCGACATCCTTCTCAATCACCACAGGTGGGAAGTCTCCCATTGGGATGTCCTCTCCAATGTCGACATCTTCCTCCGCAGCAGCGTCCACTTTCTTGCTCTTAACCACGGCGGCCGCGTCGGCGGGGTCGCTCTCAAGAGACTGCATTCAACACAAAAAGGGTGAAAAAAAAGAACCCCATTACTACTTAAAAAAACCCAGAATCAGAAAACCAAGTTCTCAAGCAAAACCAATAGCGGCAATTGCTTTACCGTGTTGCGGTCGGTGTTCTGGGGAGCGGGATTCTGGGCCTGCATGAGCGCCTGCCGCTTCATCTTGCTCACCATCTTCTTGTAATTGCCAACAAACCTGTCGAGCTCCCAAAGGGTTTCAGTGTCGACGGCCTCAATGTCGAGCTCAATCTCTTCTCCGTCTTGGGACAAATGGCATTGGTCGTTCCTCTTCTTCAATATATGAAGCAGCTGGACCATCTTCTCCGTTGGAAGATTCTGCAAATTGGCCCCTAGCTTAGCCTTCTCCTCGTAGGTCATTTGCCGCTTGTTCGGGTCCTTCGCTTTCGGCTTTGGAAGCTTCACCGGTCTTGAATTAACTAAGGGGGGTTTCGATACCGGAGAAGGTGCTGGAGCAGGGACTGAAGGCTTTGTCAATGCCTGAGTATAATGAACCGGCGGTGGTGGTGTCGGGTCCGGAAATGTGGGTTTTGATCGCACTAAATCGGGCTTCTTGACTGCCACCATTGTATCGATTTCTCTCCTAGCATTCTCCGGAGCCACATTTGGATCCCCGAATCCGAGCACCCGGCGCCGCTCGTCCTCTAACTTCTTGTAGGCAGGGTTGAACATCTGGTTGAACTGTATCAAGAGTTGTTCCGCCATGAAATTCACGTCTGATCCTTTGGGATTGTAGAGCAAGGCGTTGTTGAAGGCGAGCCTCACATCCGAAGCGAAATCAAGCGGCGAAGGGTAAAGATCCCTCTCAAGATTGGACTTTACAGTGCCAAGATCCATCGGATTCTTCACGATTTGGTGGTAATCGTGGAGCTTCAACCCATCCACATCAACAGGCGCGTTGAAAACCCAACCAAACTTGTGCTTCATCAGCTTCGTCAAGATCTGCCCGCACCTCTTTAGCATGCTCCCTACCAGCTTCTCGCTAATCGGGTCAATCGCCGGCCTCTTCGGATCCGCCATAACCCCTCCAAAGGGATTGCTCCTCTTCGTACCCTTGCTGTCCACCGCAACCACGCTCATCACATCCTTCTTCTTCTTCTTCTTGCCCTTCCCGGCGACAAGCTCCGACTCTTGATAGTTCTTCAAGCTGGCCTTCGGGTTCTTCTTCTCCGCCCCTTTCGGTAAAGAATGGCAAGATCCCGACTCGATCCGGCTCATCAGAGCCCGCACCTGCTCAAGCTCCGATCTCAGACGCATCTTCAGCTCCTTCAGCTCCTTCCTCGAAAACGAACCGACGTTGAACGTCACGTAGCCCTGCGACGAAACTCTCGGCTCGATGAGGCTCATCGCTTTCCGATTCGGTGACGACGTCGGCGCCGGCGCCGACGACGTATGGTTGTCGATCTGCCGGAAACGGAAGCCGCCGGACGCATCATACGGCTGACGAACGGAACCAGTGTTTGGATTTGAAATAGGGTTAGGGTTAGGGTTAGGGTTTGGCTTGAGAAGCGGATTTTTGGAGGCGTTGGTTGTGAATTTCCTCATATAAACCTTGTTCTCACCCCAAGAAGGTTCATTTCGACTCGCCAGTAGGGCCGATGCCATTATCGGACCAGGTCGGATCCTCCGGTCCCCACGACTACCCGCCGGCCGGAGATCTTGACCTCTGGCGGCGGGATTCCATCGTCGTTCGGAAGAGATTTCGCCGGCGATTTCAGAGAAGGAAGCAAAAAGGGGAAGATTTTAGAGAGAGAAAGAGTGAAGAGAGAGAGAGAAACGAGGGTTTCGGAGACCCTCCTCAGTCCTCACCAGAGCGAATTACAAAGGGAAAGTGGTGACCTCCTCTTAAAGGCGTTTGGATCTGCCCGGCCACGTCTCGGGCAGTTTCTCCTCCGTCAATCTTCGATCGCACGGTCAATGCGCGATCTCTTTCTGCCCGATTTCTGCCCGTGCCATCTGCCATCTACGGTCTAGATTCCTGACCTTGCACACGTGGCTAGTTGTCTTCCGCTTGATCGTGGGGTCTCTCACTTTTTCTCTCGTCTGGTGGGAATTTTTAAAATTTTGGGTTTTCGGGATTGGAGGGCCCAAAAAGGGCAAATTTAAAATAAAATAAAAAAATAGAATTTTGGGATCGAGCGGGTCGTGCTGGGATAAAGAATCACTCAAGAATGTGGGTCCCTCGTTGTCCCGCTGACGTGGATGTGGGGTCCAGCAAATGGACTTAAATAAATATCATTTTTCGTTTTTTTTTTATTTTCTTCATTTCCCTCTCGTCATCGTCAGGGGAATCTTTCTTCCCTCCAAAACCCGGCCGCCGGATCAGCCACGTCAGCGCCTCAAACGGTGATCTGGATAAGCGCCACGTGGAAATGCCAACGTCGTGGTTAGTCCGTGGGAGGATTTTTATCGACGCTTGTTACGTTACTCCCAACTTTTTTATTATTTATTATGTCTTTTATTTGGGTACGAATCGTGTGTCTTGCAGCTCATAGTAAGGTCAATAAATGAGATTTTTTTTATTCCTCAATCACACGTGGCCCAATACCGTGTCGTTGGGAGATATTTTTATGTCCAAAAGCAATGTGCTTGTTTGATTTGCTTGCTTTTTCATGCTCATGTAAATTTATTTACTATTTTCCTTTGTTTTTTTAAGGGTGTTAATATAAAATTAAATAAACAACAAAGTACGTTAACACGGAGTCAATCATAGTGGGTATTAAGTTGCTTTTTTTTTTTTTGTTTCGATTAAGGGTATTAAGTTGCTTTAGTGACTATTCCATTGTTTTTTCTTTTCGTTTTAATTTATGACAATAATGTTTTGGTACGGGATAATAAAAGAATTTGATGGAAGAACCTTTTTTTTTTTTTCCTTTGAAATGATGAGAAAATAACTTTTGTCTTTAGAATTACTCCAATTACTACTATAAACTTTACGTGGTTAAAGTGTCTTTTGACCTTTTCGTCCCCCTTTTTTTTTTTAATTCTCAATATTGATATTGATAATGGATGATATATGCCGCGTTTAGAATTCATTTTAAAATAATTTTATTTTTTGTATAAAAATAAAAATAAAAACGTTTTTAATTACAGATAAAAATTATTTTTAAAAATGTGTTTGGTTGTTTTATCAATAGATTATTTTCAGAATAAAATAATCCATTAATGTCTCTCTTTCTCTCTCTCTCTCTCTCTCTCTAGAGAGGATAACACAAAAATAATAAATGACTAAATGTCATTTTTTATTTCTACACTAAATCAAAAAATCATTTTCATTTTTGTTTTTTATTTTTCTTGCACCAAACGTTGTTTTGTAAAATACTTTCATTTTTTATTTCTCAAAAAATGTAAAAAATAAAAACATGATCAATTCCAAACACGGTCATAGATTTTGAGAAGTCGAAAGCCAAATAAGCGCTTCTATAAATGTGTTAAAAAGAAGAAGAAAGAAAATGGAACCTCTTCACGACAGTAAGGGATGTCTTTATTACAAACTCTAGTGAGTTGACTCAAAAAACTATATATGTATATATTATTATATATACTAAAAGAGACTCGAGATTCACTATTCACACATTTATATTTTACAGTTCTTTGTACAGTAACATTTTTGAAATTTCGTTTATGTCTCGTGTATTTTGAGCGTAAATTGTTAATTCCTTGTGCATGGGCTTTTACGTCTTTTGATCTCAAATTTGCATATGTTGATGCCCGATTGGCCAAAGGAAAAAGTGACGCCACCATTGCAAAGCTGTTATCCTCCACCGCTGAACGCTCTTCTTTTGCATGTGTTTTTCACCCACGAATCACAGCCGTCAAAATTTTTGATTGAACGGTTTCAAACCATTTTTTATTTATTTTTTAAATTTTTATTCTTTATTATAGTTATTTACTATTTTGAATTGATTTTGAGTTCAATTTTATCCGTTTTACCATCGTTTTGTGCTAAATTTTTTATATTACTTAAATAAAAATACCATGAATAATACAATAAAATTAAATAAAAATACGTATACTAAAGGAAAGGAAACGTACATTGTTCACACACTCACAATTTACTATTCATTGTGCAGTGACATTTTTGAAATTATGCTTTTCAAAATTATGCTTCTGTCCCTTGTCTTTTGAGTGTGAATTGTCAATTTTACACTTTTTCTCTTCTTTTTACCCTTCCATGTGCATGGGCTTTTGCGTCTTTTGTTTTAGGATTGTCACGTGTTGACGTCCGGCTGGCCGAAGGAAAAAGTGGCGGGGCCCACCACTGCAAAGCTGCCATTTTCCCCCATTCTGAACGCACTTCTTTTGCATGTGCGAATAACAGCCGTCGAAATTTTTGATCGGATAGTTTCAAATTATTTCCGGTTTATTTTTATAATTTTTATTCTTTATTATAGTTATTTATTATTTTGAATTTAGTTGGAGTTCAATTTTGTCTGTTTTACTACCATTTTATGTCAAATTTTTTATATTATAAAAATTTATATACTATAAAAGTTTCTAACTTTTTATATAATACAACAATATTTTCCGCAACAACGCGGGGGCTTTTGACTAGTATAAACTATATAAAAGAGCATGCAGGTTTGATGGTACGAAAAACCTACCAAGAGATAATTATTTCCTTAAAAAAATTAGAGAAAATTACAAAATTTATCCTTAAGAGTATATGGGTATGGATTTATACCTCTCATTCTTGATTAATATCATTTTACTAATATAATTATTTGATTAAAAATGTTATTAATTAATACTAAGAGGTAGAATTCCTGATCCATACACTTTTAAGAGATATTTGTCTCTTTTTCACATAACACATAAAAAAAGGGAAAAAATTGTTGAATATTTGGCTTTTATTTTTATTTTTGAAAAATTGGAAAAATTATATGCTGTAGATTACATCTTCAATTATTACTATCAAAAAGGGACTTTAAGAACAAAGGACTAAATTAAGAAAATAAAATATTTTTCTACTGTTAAGAGTGTAAATTATAGTTAAAAGTGTGTAAGAACTGATTACACTCATTTTTGGTAATTTTGACATTCAATTATTACTATCAAAAAGGGACTAAATTGAAGGTAAAATCGATATTTTCAGCATTATATATAACTATAAATGTTTTCTTATACATGGAAGGGTAATTTTGATATTTTAGAAATATTTAACGGTCAATTTTCAGGCAATATTAATGCTCAAATAATGGAGAGGGCGTTTCTGTAATTTTATTTTTAAACAGTTAGAAAGTGTTAGCACGATAAATTTCACTTAATAGGGTGTCTCTTATTTTGGTAAAGTATATAGTGTTAGTGTAAATTGTAGATGCGTAACAAAAGATTTATGCCTTGTTCAATTCACCGATTTGAGTTTTCAATTTTAAGTTTTTACAGTAAAAAACTCTCAAAAAATATCACATTTAACTTTTTTGCTACAGTGAAAAGTTTTAAGAAAATGTCACATCTCAGCTCGAATTGAAAACTCGAATCCGCCAAATGAACGAGGCATTGGAAAAGAAAAGTTCAGTTAGTTGTTTTATTATATGATCATATAATAATGTGGACCTTTTTTTTAAAGGACCTTTTTTCGTGGTGAAATGTGGAATTGAATTTCCCGTAGAATAAAATGGTGAATGAGAATGGAAAGAGTTTTCATGGAGAGAATTAGGCCCCGTTCATTTCACCGATTTAAGTTTTGTTACAATAAAAAATTTTTAAAAACAGTCACATTTAATTTTTTTATTACAATAAAAAATTCTCACATAAAATCACATTTCAACTCAAATTAGTGAACTAAATGGGCCCTTAGTGTAGTTTATCTCTTTTATTCCGGATGATATTTTATTGGCTTCTTCATACTCACTGATATTGCAGTTGAATAATAAAATATACTTTTCCTGCAAAAAAAAAAAAAATAAGAGAGTAGTTTGGGATTGACATAATTAGTGCAATCACATGGTTAGTCTGGGGCTTAGTTTAATTTAAAGATTCAAGTTTTTAATTAATTTTATGTGAAAATTTTTTACTGTAATAATAAAAAATTAAATATAATTTTTTATGATAATTTTTAATTATAATAAATTTAAATTAATAAAATGAACGATGTCTCAATACGCGCCGAACCAAAATATTGGCCGGCAATAGTTGTTCCTACTTTTTTAAAGCCTACTTTTGTTTTCGGCCGGAAACTGAACCGGAGTGAATGGGTTGGCAACTCCAATTCATCTCTCATTAGTGATTACAGAGAGTTGAATGTGTTCTTCGTCCCAAGTCCAAGAGTTTAATGGATTGGACTTCGGAGCTTGGGTCAGTTGCTAGATGGCCTGACCCAAATTGTACGCCATACGAGTTCAAATAAATTCATTGTTTCGTTTTTTTATAAATTTTTGTTGAGATGGCATTCTGACCCATGGGTCCGTGGGTACACGCCCCTAATAAAACGGGTATGGAGAATACTATAGATATTTGGTTCACAAATTCAGAATCATTTTTAGTTTACGTATGTTTTTTTTATAGAGAAAACAGTGTAGCGAGCCACTAATAAATAAACATTAGAGTAACCACTTAATCACACCAAAGAATCTCCATTTTTTTCAATGTTGCATGGATTTTTAGAACTCTTAATAGGTAAATAGGTATGATATGAGAATTGCTCCTCCAATGGGGATTTCCTGACCCTAACCCTAACTCTGACCACGTCTTAAATTAGGTGGGTAAGGAGAAAAAAAAATCAAACGAAAAAACAGATTTGAGTTTTTATTTAAAGTTGTTCAGATACAATATTAACAGGGGTATTTTTAATATTATGAAAAGTGTAGTGTTAGTCTATGAATGCATGTCATATGGGACGTTTTAACTTGATTTGCATAACAAAAGGAATGTTGTAGCATTTCTAAAAATGCATGGTGGGACACAACACTTTGTTGAAACTAATAATAATGAAATAAGAAAATAAAAGAAAAGAGAGAAGAATATAGAGATTTGATATTAAGGGTTACTATGAATGAAACTCCATATAAATAGACATTACAACTAAATGATTAGTTAAGTTTCCCAAAATTAAAATCAAGAAATTTTATAATATGAAATGAATACAAATAAAGTCAAAATACTAATAAAGGTAACAATATTTTCTCAAGTAAAAACTCTATATGGAATATTTTTGTAATCAACAATTTTCTAAACCCATCTTTTTCATAGAAACTCTCATTACTTCTTTAAGTTATTCTTTAAATGTTCATTATCAAATATATAGTGTTATAGGCGAAACCTTATGCTTATATAATGACCTTTCTATTATCACCTTTACTATATGACAAAGCATGGAGTGAGCGAATATCCTGAGATGAAGCATTATGGTCGCTTCTAATCTTTACCTCTAAATTCAGACAAAATTTATGAAGAGACGTGCATTTTTGTTCTACTAAAACAAATTATATTTTAATTATTAGACTAATTTTTTAACTGCCAGAATAAACAGTTCTTTTAAAAAATTAATTCAACCACTAAAAACAACAATAAAATGCACGTCCGATTGTAAAAGTTCCCAAAAAATTAGGGTTGTTCATCTGCATTTTTTTTGTTAGGGTGACTTGAGTTAAAACTTTGATTTAAGTTAATGTGTATTTGAGTATAGTTTGAGTTGAGACTCTAATTTGAGTTTGTGTTTTAATGTGCACATTTTGAGTTATGATTTGAATTGAGAATCTATTTGAGTGAGTCAAAACTTAAATTTATATTTAGATAGTATTTTAATAAAAACTCAATGGTGATGAAAAATTTTAATAGGTATATGAGTGGGATTTTATTCGTCTCTTCGTTGTGAATGCATAGAAAAAAATCATTTCAATCAGAATTAAAACGAAAAAGTTACGATATTTTTAAGAATAGAAAAAATAATGTTTATTAACTTGAGTTTGAGTTTGTGTTTGAATGTGCACATTTTTCATTTCAATTTGAATTGAGAATCTATTTGAGTTTGTATTTGAGTGAGTCAAAACTTGAATTTATATTTAGATAGTATTTTAATAAAAACTCAATAGTGATGAAAAATTTTAATAGGTATATGAGTGAAATTTTATTCGTCTCTTCATTGAGAATGCATAGAAAAAAATCATCTCAATCAGAATTAAAATGAAAAAGTTATGACGTTTTTAGAAATAGAAAAAATAATATTCATTAACTTGAATTTCACTTTAGAAACTTGAATTGAAGGAGGAATTTGAATTTAAATTTTAACCTCAAACTCAAGTTAAAACTCAAATTCAAACTCAAATTTTATAAAAAATAATATACTTAAATTAAAATTGTAACTTAAATTTAATTTTTTTTTTAAATTTAAATACAAATGACAAACTCTAAATGCAGCTGAAAAAAGAAAGGGAGGGATGAGCTGAAATTCAACAAAGCAGGACCCACGGTTTAGAAATAAGAGGCCTGTCTCTTTCCTGTTGTCACGTTGTGAGTATAAGATTCAAATTCAAAATCCACAACAATGTGGGCCCTCCAACGACATCTCTTTTCTTTGCAATTCAAAGTTCACGCATTTGATTCTCTAGTGTGCTGTGTGCCATCGCACTTCGCACCAGTCCAACTAAATAAAACTACTAACAAGAACGACACCCAAATAATAAAAAACCAAACCACCGGTTCGTTTTGCTCGTTTGAGTGAGAAATTTAAGTTAAAAAGTAAATTCATATGAGAAAAAATACTGAAAAGAAGAATTTGAATTTAAATTTTTACGAAAAAAACACTATAATAAAAACTCAAGTTATAATTCGAATTAGCGAAACGAACGATAACTATAATAAATACAAAAACGACTAGAGCTAAATTCTCATACATCACATATATTACTAATTCCTATAAAAATAATTGTCTAATTTAGACATTAAAGCGGTATTCGTAAATAATCAGAATTTAAATTATACACAATCTCATCGTTTCTTTTACGAAAAATAAAACATTTAAATTTTAATCTCACAATGTATCACAAGAAAAGCCCTATCAGCCAAAACTCTATTTCATGATCCCTTTTCCTAGTAGGCTATAAGCCAAAAATCAAAATTAAAAATTAGGAAAAGAAGGCAAAAAAAAAAAAAAAAAAAAACTCGCGTTGTCCCAATAATTATGCATAAACCACAAACATCATGAGATGGGAGATAATTAAGAGGGAATTAGAGTACAAAGATGGTCATGGAAGAGAGAACAAACTAAAGTGTCTTGTACAACGTCAAAGCATAACAAAGCTAAAGTAAAAAGGAAATAACATAATCATGCATTATAGCTGCTAATATATAATTTATAAAATGTTAATTAACTTATAAAGATGATGGAAGGATCGCAGCAGCACTCGTCAAGAAGGCAGCAGCAACACAGGGCCGCAAGACTGAGACAACATAAAAAGAAAAAGAAAAAAAAAATTGATCAGAGAATTAATTAAACCTAAAACTTAAAATAACAATTTTATGAACTTATCAATTTTATTCTTATTCTTTTTTGGCTTTAGATCACTATTCACTGGTTGTACTTGTAGCATATATATTGGTGTATAATAATATTTTGGCCCTTATTTTTTTTTTTGGTTAATTAATTCAACCAAGAACACAGAACTAACTAATTACAAAAAGAAAATTTGATACACCACGATCAGAATTCTATTATTTGCGTGTGGGGAAAAAATTAAGCCTCGATGAAACAACTTCGTGTAGCAGCAATGTATTTATAACGACTTCGAGTAAGAAAAACGACGTCGTTCGACTTATAGAGTAGGAAAAGAAGAACACTAAACAAGTTGCAGAATGTGAAGAAGAGACCTAGAGGATTGAATATGCTGGAATAGCTAAAAGGCTTATGAGAAATTAAATGGGAAGAAGAAATGTTATGTTTTTCTTGTCTTTGAATTCTTATGTTTTGCTATGTTGATATATATGATTTGAGCGTCGAAGAGTTCTTCTTTGAAGTTGGAACCCTTATTTCTCAAAGCAGGTTCGAGTATCATAATCAAGTAAATTAGCAGTTATCAGAAATTAAGAAGGCGATTCTACTATGCTCTAACAACTGTTTTGTAAAGTTTTGATTGTGATTCATCATTCATCGGAATTTTTTTATTTTATCCCGAGAGATGCATGCGGTCTCATTCATTTCATCGATTTGAGTTTTCAGTTTTAATTTTTAATTTTATCCCGAGAGATGCATGCGGCCTCATTCATTCCACCGATTTGAAATTTCAGTTTTAAATTTTTACAATTAAAAACTCTAAAAAAACATCACGTCTAACTTTTTATATAACAATTAAAAACTTTCAGAAAATATCACATGTCAATTCAAATTGAAAACTCAAATTCGCGAAATCACCTTATATATACACACACATATAAAAAAAAAAAGGGTGAAGATGTAAAATAGAAAGCTTACCATCCCTCAAGGAAACCTGCCTCTCTCCTGGGTGGCGGAGCAGCATACTGGGGAGGGGCCATCACCGGAGGGCCTTGATAGTAACCTAACAACACCCACACCAAAACACACACCAGATGAAAAGGTTTTGTTTAACTTCTTCTTTCTTTTTTTGTCACTTTTTTTTTAATGATAAAAAATAGAAACAAAAATTTTTTTAAAAAAAAACACCGTAGTATTAGTTCTTTTGAAATAGGGGAAAAAAGAAGAGAAGAAGCAAACATAATAAAAATTACAGCTCTAGCAATTCCAGGGAAGAGATGTAGCTTTTTTGAGTAGCACAATATGACAGAAAATCATGGAGATATTAACACAAAAACCCAAGTTTCAGAATCCATGCAACCATTTTTTTTTTTCTCATGACCAACTCAGACACAAGAAACAAGCAAGACCCACAAATTTTTCTTTATTTTTTGTTTGTTTGTTTGTTTTTTTTCTTGTGGAAACATAAGTTAAAGAAAGACACAGATATGATTGTGTTAAAATACAGACAAATAATACATTATAGTCTAAGATTTAGAAAAGAATCTGAAAAGGGTACCTTGAGCAGGGTAGGGATAGGCATATTTTGGATCGCTCATTACGATCTGTGTTGAAAGAAAGGCAAAGGCAAAGGAAGAAGACTTCTAGACTGATCTTCTAAGTCTATGAAGAAAAACAAACAGTATGAAACAGAGGAATTATTTTTGTTTTGTGGAGGAGACGGCAAAATGTGTTGTGGATTTTATATGAAAAGGGCTTTCTGGTCAGGATAGTCTATCTTGACTATGCATCATCAGTAATCACTTGTTTCAAAAATCAAAAATATTTTTGGGACAATTATAGACTCTATACAAGACTCTGCTTTTGAGCCTTTTTTGAGGTTTGCGTTTTGGTAAAGTTATTCTTTCCCCTTTTTTACGTGCTACATTCCTGATCAAACTTTTTTTTTCCCTTTTTTAAAAAAAAAAAAAAAAAAAAAAACCTATCATAGGCTTACCTAACAAATAATCGGGTTATACTTATTTTTAATCGAGAGATCAAATAAATAGTAGATTTGTATTAAATAATTGAAGTAAATAATAGATTTTACATAATAAATAACAGTAAATTAAAAATTTATGTGGTAAGTACTTTTTTTTTAATCTTTTTACCACATAAATCTAGCCATAAAAAGAAAATTCACATGGTAAAAAATCTTGCTATTTACTTTAAATATTTTAAAATCTACTGTTTACTTAATTTAATTTAAAAATTATACTAATTATTACAATTTTTGTTTTTAATCCCTGAATTAAAGGCTAAGATCTCATTTATTTCATAACTCAAGTCATATTATTACAGTATTTTTTCTCACAAAAATTTAAATTTAACATTTTTTGCTATAATATTTTTATCTTACATACACGATTCAAGTCACGACTTGAGTTGTGTAAATAAACATACCCTAAATCTTACTTTATTTTCTCACTTTTAAAGATTTACAAGAGAAGTTTCCTATCTATTAAATCTCACAAAAAATTTTCCCACATCATAAATATAATCATGTTATAAGTAGGCCAAAAAGTCAATTAATATATCTGGCTAGTAAGATCATCTCCAGTATAAATACTAATACCAATTGTACATTTAACATCCAAAAGTATAATAGAATATTTGTTACAATGCACAATACTATTTGAAATACTAAATTTACATTTTCCCATAATCATTAAACTTTGAAAATTGTAAAAGTAAACTTTTAATTTTAACCAAAAATAATTTAAAAATGTAAAAGTTGTAACGATTTGAAAAAATAATTCAATGTAAATACTAATGCCAATTGCACATTTAACACTAAAAAGTATGATATAATATTTGTTACAATGCACAATACTATTTAAAATGATAAATCTATTTTTTCTCACAATCATTAAGCTTTGAAAATTGTAAAAGTAAACTTTTAATTTTAACCTAAAATAATTTAAAAATGTAAAAGTTGTAACGATTAAATAAAAAAGTAAATAATTTACCATATGCTATATACGTAGTGACAAATTTGTCACAAAGAATAATATGTGATAAATTTAGCACAACAAATAAGATTACATTAGGAAGTGTTTTTGCACTTAAACGTTAAATTTACAATTAATACCTCAATTATAATATTGTATTGGAGATACTCTAATATAGAGAATCTTTTTCTTCTTTTGCTAAGGGTCTGTTCTTTTGGAGTGTAACTCGAGTGTAGTTTTTGAGTTGAATTTGAGTTATGACTTAAGTTGAAGTTGTAACTTGAATAAAGTTGAATAAAGTTGGAACTTAAAAGAACATGAACTTAAATAAAGTTGAAACTCGAGTTATCTTTTTTTGAGTTTTTTGGACAAAAGAACAGGCCCTAATTTTTTTCCTCATATTTAATTTACGTTATGTATTACTGCAGTATTCTCATATGCCATGTATCTTTTCAATTCTATATGATGCAAGCCCTGGTTTTGCCTTTCATATTTATCGACTTTAATAGATGCACCATAGTTTGGTTTATTTTTTAAAAGTTTTTTATTTTTAATAAGATCAGAAAAAGTAAACTAAGGGTAATTTTTTATTTTTAATTTACAAGTTTAAATTGAGAACAGTTTAATTCGAAAGTTTTTATAGTTTTAGAATTAAAATGATTTCGTCACAAAAAGAAAAAACTTCTATCAAAATATCACTATCATTAGACTAAAGCTCGTATAATTAGAGAATGGGAGAAAAAGAGAAATATGTCAAGACTTGAGATGAATTAAAATTAATAGGCCAATAGTTTACATAAGTTAATAAATAGGTCAAATTACTGTTTTTGTCCATAACTTGTCTGGTTATGAACCATAACTTGACAAGTTATTGTCCATAAATCACGGTTTTGTCCATAACTTGTCTGGCTATGAACCATAACTTGACAAGTTTGTTCATAACTTATATGGTTATGAACCATAACTTAACAAGTTACTAAAAGTTGGCCTATATACTTCCTTAAACTTTTCATATTGTCATGTTTTCTACTATTTCCGTTAGAGAATCTTGATAATGTATATTAGGAACAAAAGGATAAGAATAAAGGCACATAAGAGGAGCTCTAAAACTTTATTAAGCTCTTTTACATGTGAATTGATAGCAATATTGGAGGAGACTTTTGGCATATAAAACACAATTACTTGTCAATGACGTTATATATAAGATATGGCAAGCTTTATTTGGGGATATTGGGAGGATTATGCGGAAGTATTAAAATCTTTTTTTTTCTAAGCTATCAACATCCGTAATCTAATAATGTTAAATTTCCATACCAATGTCAAAATTTAACAATTTGGTAAAGAAAATATTAATTTTCAGTGCAACTGATGTTGTTAACGCTAAATTTTTGACATAGTTTATACTTGAATTTTAACATATATATAATATATGCAATAATATGTTATGATATCAAGCATATAGCATCTGTTAAATTTTGGCCTTTAATTGTTTTATAGTTATTGTCCGTACATTTTCACCTAATTTAATGGCAATAATACCGTTTTAATTTTTTTAAATAAAAAAAACTTTAATTTATAATCAATTTTAAAGCTTAAAATATACAACAAAAGGTAAATACATAATTTAAAAACAGCGTAATGAATTGTAGCACAGGATAAAATAACATATTAAAATTTTAGTTTACGTTTTTTTTTTATGTTAATATTGTATTGTTTAGCATTTGTATTATTAATGGTATAATATAAATAGTGTGAAACCGGACCAAAGTTGCACACGGAAAAGCATATTATTCCCACGAAAATAGTCTCCTTTACTCGAGAATATTGCACCGTTGGATTCAATTATTTCCTTTTTAATTGTTGTCAAAAAGGGTAGGAGTTATCTCTTAATTAATTAGCCATGTTCTAAGAATGAGAATCGATTCCATCTCAATGTTGATTTTCTTTTTCTTTTCTCTACACTCCTGTTAAATATAAATACATAGTTTGAAAACGTATTATTATTGAAACGGGTTATTTTCTATTTGTCACTCATATGCTAGTCTTGTTGATATTTTACTTAAATTTTTTTTTTTTTAAATAAGAAGATAGATCATATCCATACAACTTCTTACTCAAATAATTAATTTTAAGGTCTTTTAGACTTGACACCATAATGCACCTTTCTAACTATTAAATATGATTAAAATCACATAAAAAAAATAATATATGGCTATCGGTAATTTAATTTTTTAAATCCTAATGTAAAAATCTATAATTTTATCCGTAAATTCAAAGAAAACACTTAAGAGAGAAACAATAATGTGTACCGAATCATAGACAAACACAAAAAGATGCACACAGAATATCGAATACACGTTTCTATTTTCTCTGAGGGACTAACTTACGTGGTGTTTGATAAACTTTCCAAATGTTGCTACAATATTCATTTTATCGATTTGAGTTTTTAACTTTAACTTTGTTAAAGTTAAAAACTCTTATAAAAAGTCATATATAATTTTTTTTATTATAGTAAAAAGTACTAATATAAAATCACATTTTAACTCAATTTAAAAATTTAAATTAACAAACTGGATGAGATTAATAAAAAAATGGTGTAGTAAAAAGTGAATGAAAGTGAATGAAAGTGAATGCTTTTTCTCTGGCAGCTCACTTTATTTCTTTGGCCAATGGTTCATTTGCATGCCATTCTTGGCTATGCTTTGTGTACAAATACACATATAACAAGCTTTTTTTTTTTTCAGCAAAATGAGCTTTTGGCATCTTCAGAAAAAGAACCGAAATTACAAAAGTTCCTAGTGTGTATTTGGAACTGTTTTTAAAAACGGTTTTTATGTATTTTGAGAAGTAAAAAATAAAAATAAAAATGAAATGATATTTGTTTAATAAATATTTTAAAAACGAAAATAGTGAGAATAGTTTTTGTAAAGAAATTAGAAAACTTTCACTTTTTTATTTTTATTTTTTAGTACTTATCAATAATATTATAATATATTAATTAATAAAAACGATTTCATTTTTTTATTATACTCAAAATAATATCTTAAAAAACTAACAAAATCTAATTTTAAAATCGATCACAGAATGATTCTCAAAATATACTCATTTTTATTTTTTATTGAAAATAAAATTATTTTAAAACCAATTCCAAACGGACATCTTTTTCTCGTTATTATTATTTTTTTTCTCTTTTTCCCTTTTAAAGTTAAACTGCAAGAGTAGGTGCTGATGCAAATCCACAATTCGAAGCACTATTTTTGTAGTAGTAGATTGGATGATGGCTGATGCATGGACTTTAAAACTAACTAACCACTTATGAGATAATTACGTACTTATCCTAAACATGTTAGGTTTACCAACTCCATAACAACGTTTTCTACAAAATAATAATGATATTAATTATTAATTAATTAGATAAAATCCTTAAAAGCGTCATCTTCTATTTAAGAGTTATAACACTAATTAAGGAAAAAATGTTTCTGAATACTATCAGTGTTAAATATTATCACTAATAAAAAGTGAATCTCATTTATAATTTCCACACTACAAGATCAATTTCTATTAATGAATGGTGTTCAGCACTGCCAGCACCCTAAAATATTGTTTCTAATTTAGACGCTCTTGTTTTGTAGAAAAATCATTTGTGCGACTCATCTGAAAGTTTTGCTATATAAGTCTATACATGATTATATATATAATTAATGTAAATCTTTTTTGTTATAAAATTTTCTCTTAAAAAATTTTAAAGACCCGTTTAGTTTATTGATTTAAAATTTTAATTTAAATTAATATGTGACTTTACGTAATAATTTTTTATTATTTTAAATTTTTTTTTATTATAATAAAATTTAAAATTTAAATTTAAATCGATAAAATAAAAAGAATATAAATTTATGTTTAAATTTTTTTATTCATAGACCTAATAAGCTGGCATGGGACATGACATGAACGAGTCAGTCATTATGTACGTTATGATGCCTTGCACATGTTTGTCCACTTATTGGAGACAAGCTTGCGTTGATGGGGTTTCATTCTGTTTTTACTTTCATCATTGGTATATAATTTTCAAAGCGAAAAAAAAAAAAGAAAATGTATAGTTTTAAGAATTTTTGCCAGCAAGGATTGTAGATGTGGAGTGGTGATTTAAAGACTCGTTTAGTTTGTTGATTCGAGTTAAGATTAAGATGTGATTTTATGTGAAAATTTTTTATTGTAGTAAAAAAGTTAATGTGACTGTTTCTGAAAATTTTTTACTAAATCAAAACTTAAATTATAAACTCGAATCGGTGAAATAAATGGGCGTGAAAACCTGAACTCATATTTCATGTACAAGCACACGACGTTTTCTACTTCTCTTTCTTTAATTTAATCACCTTCCCAAGTTGCTTTAAACTTGCTAGTTTTCAGCTCAGATTGTTCTCACCTTCAGTTATTCAATAGAGTGTTTCTGTGTATTTGCTTAGGATTAATCTAAAATGAAAATTGTCACTGAACTTTACACCAAAACCAAATCCATTTTGGTCTCTAACGCGTCTCAAAATTGACCTTGCTCTATTTTATTGTAACAAAATTAGTCCTTTGTGGGCTAGTTTTTAAAAGAAATTAAGGAACCATTTACCATCTGGTGAATTATTGATTACTAAGTGCTTATTTGGTTGATAGATTTAAACTCAATTCAAACCGTGTTTTTTCACATAAAAATTTGAATTTAAAAAATTTTACTACAGTATTTTCTCATAAAAATTTTAACTTTGATTCAAATCGGATTATTTGAACTCATGAAATTCCAAAAATGGGTTATAAATATTCGAGATATTCTATAAGATGTTATAGCATACATTTACACGAAGAAATAAACAAAGTAAAAGAAAAAAATGAACATCATAACACACCCTTTCTTAAATAAATTGATCCCGCTCTCAATGCCACTAAAATGTTTATTTTACCCTCACTTAAAATAGCACATGACGACACGTGGTCTATTCTGTTCATTTATTTACGCAGATGTACCAAGACAATGAGACGTTTGGTTTATGGATTATAATCATGTGATTAGAATTATTTTCAATTTACGTGTATTTTTTGTGAGAGAAAAAAATGTAATAAACCATAAACCATAATTCAAATCATGGTTTGAATCCTCCAACCAAACGTCCCCTAAGTTGCATAACGGCATCAAGAAATGTTTCATTACAAACAATAGATATGCTCTTTTTATTTTTTTTATTTTTTTCTCTCTCTTCATAGGGAAAATTTCATTAATAAATTAACAAATTACACAAATAGTCACAAATGACGTACCGGGGAATTCGACCCAAACATTGAGAACAAGTATGCTTTTATTGCTTCAACATACAAAATGCTTTTGCTGCTTGTGATGAGTGCTCATTTGATCAAGTTTCAATTGAAAGAGTAGACTCCAAATCTCCCAAAAAGAGTGTATGATCACCCAATGGCAATACTCTTCTTCCCTTCTCATTAGCAAAGCTAAGATGCATACATGAATCCACCAATATGCTTGTTGAAGTAGATCCGTTTGAAATTGTATTCACACTGCTAAATCCTATTAGCTGTTTCTCTGGAGCGCCTTGAACAACTTTCGGCGGTCTAGAGAATAACAACACAACATGCGCACCATCCATATCTCCTACATTCATCGTAGAGATTTCCACAGAGAATCTCAGTGAATCGCAAGATGGTACTGCATCTATGTATATGTAATCAAGTTGATCTCCTACTTGGTGTATCGCATTTTCGCGGAATGCATCCTCGAAAGATCCTGATACACTAAGTTTGCTTGGCACTGACAAGAATCTGTAAGTGTAGTTGCTGTAGCTCAGGCCTTGTCCAAACGCATACACCCTGCTACCAGTGTAAAACCTGTAGGTTCTTCCGGGATAGCCACGAGAAGGATCAGCCCGCATTCTCATGTCATTCATCGGGACATTGGTGAAGGCCTCAGGGTACCAAGTCATTGGAAGCCTTCCACCTATGCATCATTAAATCCAAAAATAATGTTAATGCTTAGCTGCATAGAAACCCATCTTTTAGAAGGTTGAATTCAAGCTAGAAGCAAAAGTATCTACAAAAAAATTTTTCCTGCCAATTTTTAGATACTAAGGGCTTGTTTTTTTAGAGTTTAACTTGAGTATAATTCTTAAGTTGAATTTGAGTTATAACTTGAGTTGAACTTGTAACTTGAGTTTGTATTTAGTTGTGTACATTTGAGTTATGGTTTGAGATAAGAATCTTTTTGAGTTTGTGTTTGAGTGAGTCAAAACTTGAATTTGTATTTAGATAGTATTTTAATAAAAACTCAATGCTGATGAAAAATTTTAATAGGGTATATGGGTCGGGTTTTATTCGTCTTTTCGTTGTCAACGCATAGAAAAAAAAAACCATCTCAATCAGAATTAAAACGAAAAAGTTATAGCATTTTTAATAATAGAAAAACTACTGTTAATTAATTTGAGTTTGAGTTTCTGAACTTGAGTTGAAGGGGAAACTTAAACTCGATTTTTAGTCCTAAATTCGAATTTGAACTCGAGTTTAAACTTAAAAGAACATGAACCCGAATAAAGTTGTAACTCGAGTTGCATTTTTTTGAGTTTTTCACTCAAAAGAACAAGGCTTAAAACTTCTGCACGTAAGCGTTTTATCGTAATGACTATACGTTGGGTAGAACTCATTTTTCAGGACCAAGATAAAAAAAAAAAATTATTATTTCCTCTTAAGTGAGGATTAGTTCATGTATTTTAATACCAACCTGGATTGACATCTCCAAAGATTATTTCGGCAAGCGCTCTTCCACCTTCTTGCCCTGGGTAGCCAACCCAGATCATGCTTGCAATTTGTGGGCTTTTCTCAGCAAACAATACATCAAGAGGTCCACCACCAGTAAGAACTAGAATCACCGGGTTTTTACTGGCAGCGGCCACAGAGGATACAAGAGCCATCTGTTTTCCAGGTAAGAGAAGACTAACTCGATCATGATCTTCCGTTTCTTGGGACAAGTCAATACCAGCAACTACAACAACATAATCTGCTTCTTTTGCAATATTAATGGCCTCATCAAATCCCTCATCGGAGTAGCATGAGACGTTAAAGCAACCAGCTGCATACGATGTTTTCTTTACGTAATCTCGGAATCCATCAAAAAGGCTCTTTTGGCTGCAGGGAACTCCTATTGAACATAGAAATGACCCCGTTAGTTTAAAAACCATATCAGAATTCCATCAGTACTATGCGTGTAAAACAGGTCAAGTGTTCAATTATAGACGGAAAACTTTAGAATCTCGAAGAAGATTTATATAACACGAGTATAGCATAAGCCAACACTATAATCAGTTTATAATACCTGTATAGCCACCACCTAATTTAGTACCATCATCAGCCAACGGACCAATAACAGCCAAGGAAGACACAACGTCCTTTTTCAGCGGCAGGAACTTCTTATCATTCTTAAGAAGCACTATTCCCTGTCTTGCAGCTTCCAGAGCCAATTTCTTGGTCTCCGAGGTGCAAACATCTTGAGGTCCCAACCTTCCATATTTCCCTTTTCTAGGATCCCCATCAAAAAGGCCAAGCCGGATTTGAACAGAGAAAAGATTAATCAATGCTCTGTCTATGTCTTCCTCTAGCACCTTCTCTTGTTGAATCGCAGCAAGAGTATGTCGAAGCAAGTATGTTCCACAATTTATATCCATTCCTGCAAATGCCAAAATTTCTTTTCATCTCTTTGTTAAACTAATACTATACATTGTTGCCTTTACATTGCCAAGAATGTTACAACAAAATTAATGGACAGAAAATCGGAAAAAAAGTAATAAAGACCTGCTTTAAGAACATCAGCAACCGCATCTTCGGGATTTTTGGTGTAATGCTGATACTCAAGGACAGTGGCCACGGCATCACAATCTGAAGTAATATAGCTGTACTTCATTCCAACAAGGGACATAAATACGAGGCTTATTCAATCAAGTTCAACATCCAATTTTTTCTATCTCTATTCTTATCAAAATTAGAACTCTAAAAAGTAAGTTTACCCTTTCAAGCCCCACTTATCCCGAGCTTGCGCCAAGAGATCCTTCTGGGCGCAGGCAGGGACCCCATTCACTGCATTATAGGAACACATCACGCAGCTGGCTTTGCCTTGCTGCACACAACTTCGAAAAGGTGGCTGATACGTATCCTCAAAATCTTGGTCTGTTATCTACCACAAAACGATATTTTAGGGTAGTTCTACATATCTTAAGATTTAGTCCTGAACATTATCTTGACTGAACTGTCATTATTTAGAGTTAGAAGAAAACTTAAATGAGCATATTTAGCAACATTCAATGCAGGGAAAAAAAAAACGGATATCATAATTGATGCATATATTTTTCTTCTCTATTCAATTACTAATTAAGAACCGGGCCATTCAAGTTATGAATCTCAAAAATTTTTGCATTATCCAATAGCCTGAACTACAAGTTACAACACACCAAACCCAATTGACATCATCAAGCATTAGTCAGCATTACAAACAATGAAGAAACTGTCCTATTTAGAGTAAGCAGAAAACTATAACTAGTTAGCATATACATTGAATGCACTGACAAGAAAACTAGGCTGTCGTTTGTTTTGTTGATCTGAACCACAATTTAAACCTTTTTACTACGTTGTTTGCTCTCAAGAAAATTTTGAATTTCTATTCTAACCCAGTTCAAATTATAGACCATGCTATCCAGAAAAAAAAAAAAAAAAATCTTACCACAGCATTGAAGTTATACCTACTAAAACTCCCCCACATCTCCAAGTCATAAGCAGTCAAATGCTTGCAACAAGCAGAAAGCATCAAATCCCCACTTTTCCCATCATCATCATCTTGATCATCTTCCAAAACTCTGATCTTTTCTCCAATCCCACTTTCAATCCGACCATTCCCACCCTGAAAGCCTTTGACAAACTCAACGGCAAAGGCGGACCCCACCATGGGGTCCTCCCCGGGGGTCTCCTGGCCCCTCCCCCATCTGGGGTCCCTAAAAACGTTGACATTCGGCGCCCAAAAGGTCAACCCAGCCTGCCCATAATTGTACATGGCCCGGGCCTCGACGGCGACGGCGGAGGCGACGGAGGACCAGAGAGAGCGGTTGAAGGAGGCGGCCATGAGGAGGACCTGGGGGAAGGCGGCGGCGGCGGCGATGGAGCCATTGAAGGAGACGCCGGGGCCGTTGGTGGCGAGGCCGTGGAGGGACTCGGACCACCACTGGTAGGCGGGGATGCCGAGGCGGGGGACGGCGGAGGCGTTGTTGGAGAGCTGGCGGATCTTCTCTTGGAGAGTCAGATGGGATATGAGGGACCTGGCCCGGCTGCTGATGGGGAGTGAGGTGTTGCAGAATTGGTAGGAGTTTTGCTTGGGTGGTTCGCAAGGAAATAATGGTTTTCTTGTTGATGATGATGAAAATGATGATAAGAAGAAGAAGACGAAGAAGAAGAGTGGAAAGTGAGGAGGCATCTGAGTGTTCTGAAATGGGAATTGTGTTTTGAGGTTTCTTTTTTTCCTTCTGGATTGTGGGAAATGGAGTCGAACTTCAAAGTGAAGTGGGGATCTTAATGTGGGCATTTCTTCTTCTTCTTCTTTCTTTTCTTTTTTTTTTTTTTTTTTTTTTTTTTTTTTTTTTTTTTTTTTTTGTCAAGATTGGGATGAGAAGTGTGGTGGGGTGTTTTTTCCGTTTATTTTAGCGATTTAAATTTAAATTTAAATTTTATTATAATTAAAAATTATTATAAAAATTATGTTTAATTTTTTTATTATAATTAAAAATTTTAATATAAAATTACATTTTAATTCGAATTAAAAATTTAAATTTACAAATTGAACGAGAATAATATTATTAAGTCATTATTGCTCCCTATACGTTGACATCATGGTGTATAAAAATTGTAGTAGGTTCCATTAATTTTAATTTTCTCAACGTTTGATGAACAACTTGAAATCAAGTGATGATGATATTTGGGAGTAGGATTGAATTTGCACTTGAGCCACACCCTACCTTACTCAATGACATTTGATCTAGTTATCATTCTTATTTTCAAAGAAAACTAATATACATAGAAGAACAAAATAATGAGTATACAAATTTCACCCTGCACTTGTATTGTTCTCCGTGTTCGAGCTTGTAATAAGGATGTTTATCACCTCTTCTGTTTAGTCGTTAGCTTGTTTGTTTTGATCTTTGGGATAGTTTTATTGTTTGTAATAAAGGCGATGGTTTCTCAATCCGACTCTCGGTTAGTTTATAGTTTAGTGTGGAATTCGGCGATTGGTTTAAGACCGTTGTTTGACTAGGTTTTGTTTGGTGTGTGGAATTTACTTTCGCACCCTTTATAGGAAATTTGTTCCGTTATTGGGATAGAGGGTCGCTCCGACGTCCTTCCGAGTGGAGTAAATACCAGTGTGATGTCCTATTGATCTGTTGTCGATATTGGTACCACATTGCGGTTTCTTAACCGTTCAATGACATTTCGAGTGCTATTCCAGTTGTTGTTTTTAGAGTCTTTGTCCCTCCATTGTATTTCTAGCCTTTTCGTGGCTTTTCAATAACTGTCCATAATTATTTTCTTTTTACCTTTGCTTGCTACGCTTTTCCCCCCTCTTTTGATGAATAAAAAAAAAGCTTTATTATTACATGACAAAAAGTCTTGGCCAATTACAAAGTTGAAGAGCAGCCTCATTTGCGGTATGAGGAACATAAACAAAAGAAACAACAAACACTGCAAACACAAGTGACGTTTGGTAAAGGGATTCGTACCCTAATTTAAATCATGGTTCATGGTTCACTACAGTGATTTCTCTCACAAAAAATACACGTAAATAAAAAATGATTCTAATCTCATAATTTTAATTCATAAACCATATGCATCATCTAATGCTTCATAAAGCAATCCATTTATCATCAATCAAGTCATCAGGAGTCCTATATAACTTGAATAGCAAGCATATGAAAATGCACTTGATATAATCTGTTGAATCAAAACCTAATTTCTGCACTTCCAAATAAACTCTAGATCAGCACAACCAACATAAACAAGTAGGAGTGTCGTCTACAAATGAACTGTCTCGGAAGAAAATCCAACGAAAAAACCATCTACAACAGATTCAATCCGAATCGCTTCTGATCGGACGGCCCATGAACCGTTTGTTGTACCGATCGAATGGATTGAGCTACCGGGCATGCAATCTTTAAAGAGGTGCAACAATGTTTCATCTCCATCACCACACAACAAGCAAGAGATGTCTGATGAGTGAAAAAGCTTGTTTTAGTAGAAATCTCTGGTTGTCAAGCGATCTGAAAAAATTCGCTCAAAACAAAATTTTATGCCACTTGACATCTTTTCCTTCCAAATAATTAGTTTCAAAAGATATCACGACATCCAAAGCGAAATCCTTAGTCCTCCTCGTACGCTTTCTTGACAATGAATTTGCCAGAATTATTAGCTCACCAAATTAGTTTAACCCTTCTTGGTGCTTCTAGTGGTGTAATGGCCATGAAAGCTTGGGCAAACTCAACATCAAGAGTCCGTTTAGTTCGCTAATTTAAGTTTATAATTCGAACTGAGATGTAAATTTACGTGAGAGTTTTTTATTATAATAAAAAAATTTGATGGGACTGTTTTTGAGAATTTTTTACTGTAATAAACTCGAATTATAAACTCGAATCGGTAAAATGAACGGGTCTCAAATAATGTCTATTCCTCCCAAATAAAATGGTAGGAATTTTGGCCAAACTCAACCATGACTCGGGCTTCAATTGAATCACCTCTTCGGCCAATACAACTCAATGAAGTCCTTTTTTGGGAGACTCTGAGGAATGCCCCGAAAGAGCTGATCTTTTGATTCGTGCAATCACGTATTCGAGCTTTTGATTTGTACCCCTCAAATAGATTGGCAAAGGGTCAATAACATATAATGTACTAAATTTGCCCCCAATCAAAAAGTTGTATTAGTAATCTAAAAAGATTACCATCGATAATCTACTAGATGCCACCAATCGCTGACATCAATTATCAATTGCTTCACCAAAAAGTAATCTGGTGGATTATCTTTATAAATATACCAGATTATTTTTTATTTTCAACAAAAAAAGGATGGATCGTGTCTGGTTATCAAAAAGTAATCTATATATTTTTTTTTTTTTTAATTTAAGAGACAAAACACATTGACCAATATGCGAATATATTCCTTAATATCCATCACATTTATCAATGAACCAAAACTATGGGTAATTTACAAGATTTAATACAACATATTAGACAAACTTCTGGTGGGCAGGTCCATTTCCTTCCCAAAAAATTATATAATTAACAATATTAAAGATATCCAAAATGCAACAACGTTTTAAGCTTACTATAATTCTTTAAACATATGTTCCGACAAAAATCTACATTTATATGTGGAGATCGATGCTACCTCACATGGACAACAAGATTCTGAGGAACTACATTGGCGTTTCTTCGGCCCTTTTTGGTACTTCAATTTCAATATATTTGGGTTCTGCGACAAGAAGAATATTTCGTCGTTTATTTTAGGTGCTCGGAATATTGGGCCCAATAAAATACTGCAGATTGAAGCAAAAATGTCAAACTGGGCGTGTAAACAAACGATTGCATGTGAAGAAATGAGATTTTTTTGTAATTCCCATGTTGTACGCCCATGAAGCTTTTAATCAAGGCCTAGACTTGTGAGAGCCAAAAAACAAAAACAAAAATCAAGGCTTAGAGTAAAGTATAATAGCAATTATCGAAAAATGTTTAGGTACAGCCAATCTAGGTTTACTGTCTCTTCGGCCCCGTTTTGGTGCACTATTGGAGAGCTTACTGGGGCCCATTGCTTAATCAATCGAAAATGAAAACTTTCAAGATTAGCGTACTGAACAATTTTTATTATTATATATGTTATTTTAGAATTTATTTTCATTGATCAGATCGAGCACATAGGGTGCGAGCCCAAAGTCAATTAATTCTCATTGGCTAAAAGCAATCTTCATCAAGACAGCTGATAAGGTGACTCTTACTTCTGAGTTTCATACTACAGGATGCATCACCGATGTCCACTAGCATTGTTTGTAATTATCCGCACATAAATTTGAGTCAATGCCTATACTAAACACAGGGCCAATTTAGATCAAAGGGTTGTGCATTTAGTTAAATAAGTAAATTTAGTAAAGATATTTGTCATCATCTCAAAGAGAGAGGGTTAATTACGGACTAAATAATAATAATAATAATAATAAAATAAATAAAATAGAAGGTAAGCCGATGATTTAAACCTTAAAATAAATTTTGAAAAGTATGGCAGAAAAGTGGGGTGTTGTTTTTAATTTGCTGAGTGTTGATCCAAAAATCTAAGAGGGTGTTTGTTTTATGTATTCAGCATTGATTCTGAATCATGAATCATGATTCTTTATTGTTAGTACCGGTTTTAGTTTTTTAACACTTTTTAAGACAATATGAATAATACAGAAACATAAAATAAAAGAACACGAGAGAAATGATATCGCGGTTTGGTAACACCCTACTCCGCGGGGCCACGCCCAGATAATGAACAATCCACTAAGAACTCTTTTACAATTCAATTGGACTTAATCTACCTGAGACTCCATCTTTAAGAAGACGCCTATGAACTTGCAATTTTCTCAGTGGACTTGAACAGCAAGATCCCCTCGACTTTAAACATTGGAATCCCTCCAACTAAGTTTTTCTCTCGAAAAACACTCAAATCATCTCTCTCAATACAAGTGCTCACCCCTGTCTCACAACCCAGTAAAAACTCATCAAGAGGCGTACAAAGACTTAAGGAACACTTTCAATAAATAAGCAAGTTGTGAATAGCTTGACACATTTTCAATTAATTCGCGGAACCACATCTGTTGCAGATCTTGTTGCAACAACACTGCAACATAGCTGTTACGGCCAACTTTTTCAAATCCAGATGAATCAATCTTCTTTAATTCTGAAATCTTCCCAAAACTGATAAACGAACCTAGACACGTTCTTAGGCAACATAGGAAGATCATCCAGCTATAAAATCTCAATCAGAATCAATCAAATCAATTTTCCATCTTTGAATCAATGGTTGACTTAGAAAAATAGAAACTAAAATAAGTTTCTGGATTTTTTAAAACCTGCCAAAAGAAACTTGCCAGCTGCATAGACATTTCCAAATGCAATCATCCCAGCAAAACATTCCCAAAATAATGCCAATCAAATCCGATTACAATCATCAATACACAAATTAGAAAACAAATCCCAACAATCTCCCCCTTTGGCATTGTTTTGGCAAAACTAATAATAGCAACTAAAACACAATACTTTTTGCACCAATCAAGTTTCCAGACTACTTACTCCCCCTTTTTGACAAAAATAAGCCAAACATTCTAGAAAATAAGCAACACGTTCCTGCAAATCGCTCCCCCTGAATCCTCCACGAGTCATACTCCCCCTGAATATGGTATTCTCTGATGCATATTGCTTTTATCACCTATCAAAAACTTGAAGTGACCATTACCACAATACTCAGATTTATTAGTACTAATACCAAAAGAAGTATAAGCCCCAAGACACCTTAAATCAGATTTCCTTACCCACACACATCTA